AGTCAGTTGTGAATTTGTTGTTGTTGTTGTTGTTGTTCCTTCCTACTCCACTTTTCGGCCCTTTTTGTCGGGTTGAGTCAGTGATGAAATTTACTGTCAATCTTATTCTTCTGTGATATTTGCGCCTTTCTCTGACTGACTGACTGGCGACTGACTTGAAAACTCTGTATTTATTGTTGACGTTTTTTTCACACTGGCTCGTTATCTTTTTTTTTTTTTTTTTGGTTTAGCAAATCGCCTCCTTTCATTGGTCAGAAAATTAATTTCACACCTTATTGTGAAATCTATTTTTGGTCGTTTTGATCCGATTTTGCGGGTGTGCAAATCTACTTTGTGTTTTTTTTTTAGTCTTTTGTTGGAATATAGGATTTGTATCCTATAAGTCCAACAAATATTCAACACATTTTTCTATGTTTATACGTTCTTTTTATAGATCCAAATCTTTAATTAAATGCTCTGTTTATAATAAACAGTATTAACGACCTGAATGTCCAAGTAATTGTCATAGAAAATATGCGTCCTCCAACAGGAATCGAACCTGTATCCTATACGGAACCGTTACATAACATGACGTGCTTTACGGATTTACGACAGGCGAGCGTTTCGTTTAGCAAGGTCGATTTTACTGTTTTTAAATTCATGGAGAATTGTATATTAAAAATATATATGTATATTTGCCTTTTATGATATTTCTGAAGGAACGAAACGCTTTGCAAAAACATGTTTTCCTCTTGTCTTTTTATTTTTATCAATGTTTGGGGAAAAATCCAAGCTTTTATTTGCGTAAACTGGTGAAAGAAGACACAACTTAAGTTTTGCACAGCAAATAACTGAAATTGGTGTTGACTGCCATTGAAAACCCCAAACACGAGCAATCACTATCAGGTGAAATTTCCTTCAGCTGAGAAAATATATTTTCTGGCAAATCACTTGACATGTGCGCGTTTTCCTTTTTTTTTTTTTAATGTAGGCCATTTGCAAAAAGAATTGATTCCTACCAGGTCGGTTTAGCAAAAAGAAATCTCTGGAATCTAACACTTTCCAAAACCTACGGCAGTTAAACGAACTCAGTAATTTTAAAAGGATTATGAATAATATGTGGAGTAGTTTGAATCATTGAGGAACCGAAAAGCATTTTAAAAAAGGACTGATTTTCTCATGAATACTGTTTGGCTAAAACAGATTTGGTGTCTTTATTGCTGATGTTGACTTTGATGATGAGAATATATTTTACGCAGTTTCTATAAGAAGCCAGTTTTTAAGTGAATAGGTTGTTAGCCTACTGAACACACACTCCAATCTAGTTTTGAAATAAGAGTTGTCCTTCTATAAAACCTGGTCTGTCCTGCTATTTACACAAAGCCCGAGAGAGAAAGAGAGAAAGAGAGAGAGAGTGAGAGAGAGAGTGAGAGAGAGAGAGAGAGTGGTAATATAAAAGTGGACACTGAAGTCCACACCCAGGGCGCTATTCTCTTTCAAGCATAAAAGAATTCTTTATGACGTCTGAATTGGCTGAAATGCACTTCAGCATGGAGCAGTCAGTCGGCCCTAGGGTTTGACCTCAATCTAGACACACTTACACAAAAATATATATATATATATATATATATATATATATATATATATATATATATATATATATATATAAAATGAAATTCGGCATGTAACACTGTGTTGTGAAATTAATGTGTAAATACTACGTATATTTCTGAATATTATTAAATAGCTCTGTTATTTTACATTGACGATTGTTTTTTCCTACACTATAGAATATGCATATGTATTTGTATACGATATACGCTCGGATACCTACATATAAGTACCCATTCGGTTATATTTATATATATATATATATATATATATATATATTATTTTATCCTATCTCTCTCTCACACTCTCTCTGATATTGAACACTACCTTACATAAATATAGTTTAATTTAAAACAGTATTTAAATTATATACATATGATATATATATATATATATATATATATATATATATATATATATGTGTGTGTGTGTGTGTGATTGTGTGTGTTTGTGTTTGTGTATAAAGAAGGAATTGAGCCTTTTCCAGGCGTATATTTTTATTACTTCAATCATTATTATACCTTGATCTTCCTATTTGAAGAAGACGTCCCATTATTATGCACATTCTTGCATCTAATTCAAAAACAAAACTCTGCGTTTGAAGTATATATATATATATATATATATATATATATATATATATATATGACTTGAAATATATATGTATAGAAATTTAATCTTTTTAAGTATATATATATAAATATTATATATATATATATATCAATATATATATATATATATTTCAAGTATGTATATATATATATATATATATGAAATATATATATATATATATTTATTTATTTTTAATATGTATATATATTTTTTTCATTTTGTATATATATATACATTTCATGTATATATATATATTTATATATATATATATATATATATATATATATATATATATATA